CTAGGAGAAAGCCTATGGGGGAGGCTGGAATGTTAACCTGGCACCCACCATCAGGCAGCAAGCCTCAGCATGACGTCAAGTACAGAACTGATCAGTCCAATCTCACCATTCCAGATGCCATTCATGGCCATAAAATTATCCAACCTACTTTGGATCCGATCCAAAACAATGTGTGATCACAAGAATGAAGGGAAAACAAGCTGACATGAAGGAGCTAAGGAATTTTGTGTACCAGGCAATCCTTAAAGGAGAACTCAGAAAGGTTCAAGGGATTATCACTCATCCTCCTTAGATAGAGTCTGCACTTGTGCCAAGTCCTGAAGCCAATGGCCTTCACAGATGAAGGTCCAAAAACCCTCAGTGGAGGCAGGCATTGACTATGAAATGCTTAGATGCCATGTAACCCAACTGCTTTATTATATATATGTAAGAAGAAGAAACATGTGACCACAGACAGAGAGTTAGTTAGGAGAATAACATAGCATGGATAATTATCCCTGATTCTAGAAAATACTGTCATTACCATCACTGTCAACACCACTACATCACCTGATTTGGGGGACCTTTCTAATAGTTTGTATTCCTTCCCATCCATTTTGGTTAGCAGCCAAACGCTTAACCACTGAACCACCAGGGCCCTATCCATTTACTTAGCACTACTGATTTGCACTATGGAATCTGGAGCTAAATGCTGCTGGGCTAAATACATTCCAGATTCTACTGGCAGGAGGGTCACGTGAGAAAAGCTCTGCAACAGAATTCAGGATCTTTGTTCTTGTCCCAGCTCTGGCATATAAGTAAGACACTCTTCCTACTCTGGCTTCCTCATCTGTCAAATGGAGATAGTTGCATCTGTTTCACCTACCAGCAGAGGTTTATGTAGGACAGAATGAGATAAGAGATGTCAATGCTTGGGAGAGGTGGACCGATAATGAGGCCACAGCAGAGCAAGTGATTGAAAACAACTCTCACCAGGCTTGGGCCCTGATATCTGCTCCCTCAACCCTCTCTGCTTTCCCTGTCATAACACACACCATGATCTATTGTACTTTCTCCCTTAATTGTCTGGCTTCCTCACTAGATTATAAGCTTTAGGAGATCAGGGAACACACCTTGAAGATTCATGGCTGTGTCCGCAGCAATAAGCATAGTATCTAGATGGTGATAAAAGTAGAACTACTTGTAGTAGAATTAGTATTATTAGATGTGATATTAGTAAAAGTAGTAATAGAGCATGAAAAGTAGCAATAGCCAAAATTAAAGTAATTATGGTAAACAAAGAAGTCATAGAAACTGAATTCACGGTAGTAGAAGCATCAGATATGGTGGAACCATAGGGAGGTAAAAGAGAAATAATATCAGAAGTAAAGGAGGAGGCAAGGGCAGGGACTGCTGTTGTTCTAATTATTTCACCTACAAAGAAGTGTACAGTGTTCTCCAAGGTAAACTCATAAGTTTTCTTTGAGGGATAGAAAAAGGTCCAGGACCTCATTGAAGGGTTCATCAGAATTCTGTCTGGTGAGGTTGGACAAGTTCATTCATTCACATACTTGGCCTTGCTGAGCTCTACACAGTCATTTTTTAAAGATACGGAGAAGACATGATACTGCCTCAAAGAGCTTATCATCAAATGAGAAAAATCTGTGCACTGAATAACATAAGTATAACACAGAATGATACCGACCATTGGTAACCTCAGTCAGTTACTTCCTCTCTCTTGGCTTTAATTCCACCTTATTGTCTCTGTGACCTTGGTCAAGTTACTTCACCATGTCTCATTTTCCCTGTCTATAAAATGGGAATGGTAATATACCCTCCTCTCAGGCATTTTGCAAGAATCACATGAGTCAACACATGAAAAACCCTTGGTATAATGTATGGCACATGGTGGGAATTCTTTCTCCATGGAACTTTTTTCTAATTCATCAATTTGAAATGAATCTCTTTCTGTTCTACTGCCAGTAGAACTTCATATGTACCCCCTTTGAGACACCATGGCTTGATAGAAATGACACAGGTTTTAGACCCAGATAAACCTGGGTACAAATGACCAATTCCTCCATTTTAGTGACTAGCGTTGGGCAAGTGACTTCATGCTCTGACTCTTAGTTCCTTGATCTTAAAATGGAGATCGTGATACCTATCTGTCTGGTGGGAATGTTTGTAGATGAAATGGCATGGAGTAAATATAGCACCTACTAGGGTGCCTGACCCTTAGTGGGAGCTCAGAAATGATCACTGCATTTTTTATGATAGTATCTGTTATGTATGGCTCATTGTCCCTCATATATGACAATGACCTTGAGGTTGGACACCATGTATTATTTATTTGCATATTTTCAGCCCTTATCTTAACAGCTCAAACTTAGTAGGTGCTTTAAGAAAAAAAAGTAATAACAGAAGGAAACTCTTCAAGTCTATGGTTCTAATGTTAATTCTTAAATCAGCCCATCTGTTAAATAAATTCCATCCTATGTGAAATAAATTATGGAATAACTACACAAAGTAAAAAGAGTGCAAAGATATAAAAACGGGAAAGAAACAAGAGAAAAGATGGAATGATTCCTTTAAGTGTGTAGGATAATGTGATTTTTTTTCTCCGCTCATTTACACTGTTCTTGCAGTCCAAATTTTCTACATTGAGCACAAATTACTTTGATAAAGAAAAATTAAAGCATTAATAATAAAAATATTAAAATCCTGGGACAAAATAATATGAGACCTGGCAATAAGTGCGTATTCTAGATGTTATGGCAGTTAAGGGTCATAGCTCACGGCAGCACTACCCAATGGAACTTTCTGTAATGATGGAAAATTTCTATATTTGCACTATGCAATACAGTTGGTACATGTGGCTGTTGAGCACTTGGAATGTAGCTAGTGTGATTGAACTGAATTTTTAATTCTATTCAATTTTAATTCATTTTAATTTTAATAGTCCTGTGTGACAGGTGGCTACTGTATTGGACAACACAGGTTTAAAGCAACGTAGTGGATCAAAAACCAAGCAGTCACGATTGAGAGGCACATGTGACATAGCCAAATGAAGTAGAAATTCAAATTCTAATTCAGATTCTAGCACCATCGCTTCTTAGTTTGTGACATTGGGAAAATTTCTTAATCAGCCCTATTCATTCAAGAGTAAAATTCAACAAATATTTAATGTGGACTTTCTATGGGCCAGGCATTGTATTAAGTGGGGTATATATGCATTGAGTGAAACAGAGCTATTAAAAAAAAAAAAAGGAAGCAAAAATGACAACTATCTTAAAGGATTTTGGTGACGATCAGATGACCTGAACAATAGCTAGGGAATATGCTTCATATACGGTCAAGTGCTGCCCTCAGTAAAAGTTTATTATGTGAATAAATGATGTACATGTGCCAACAACCCGCAAAGTCAAGAGAGTCAGGAACTCAATGGTTGGAGAGTAGACAAGAAGAAAAGCATCATCTTAGGTGGAGAGACTTATCTGTGCTTCACACAAACTAAGAATATCTTCTAGTCAGCGATCGCTGTGAATAAACGAGTAAACCAAACCAAGGAGGGGTGGGGGGAATTTTGCCGTTATTCACATTGCTTCTTGTTCTGACTTATTATATCTAAAAAGTCTTCATGCGTTTTCTTTGTTCCCCCTTTCTTTATCTCTTCTCTTCCTCATCTCCACTTTATGGCTTCCCTCTTCTCCCTTGCCTGGAAAGAGGCAAGAAGGAAGAAAGCATGTATAGCCTGCACTGGAATTGCTTTCCCACCTCCAGTGGATTTCTAGCTTTCATATTGTGGTGATTCCTGCTAAGCTATAACATTACTACCAAGCCTTTTCAGACAAAGATCGCTGTTACCCTTTGCTTTAGGCATGTTCAGCACCCCAGCCCCCTCTGGCCACTGATGTTAAAGAAAAAAGAAAGTGGCTGATAGAACAACTTGAGGTTCTTCATCCTACACTCATCAGCTGATCTGTCTCTCTCACCGGACTCCTTTAAATAAATTAAAGCCAGTCGTTACATTGAGTCCTGGTTACTTTTCTCAACAGTGCAAAAGAGAGCTCTCTGAGGGTCTAGGACTAGTGATCTCAGCAGAGAAAAATTTAGAAGTCACTGCAGGCTGAGATCAGTGGGGATGAGACATCCTCTCCCCGGGGAAAGACTGGAAGAATCCCTCCTTTTCTCTTCCCCCTCCCTTACCAGCCCTCCCCTTCCTGAGTCAGACTGGACAGAGTACAGAGAAGCTCCGTGGTATGGAATGACCTCATGTGGGGAAGGGGAGGAGGAGAGATAAGATGGCTCCAAGGCTGCCTTCCAGCTCTGTCTTTCATGGTTCTAGACAGTTTTCTCCCAGAATCTTCGGTCCAAGGGCCAGATGATATCCATGTTCACCTCCTCTTTGAGGGAGGTTTTCTGGCTCCTCTGACATTTCAAGTTGGTTGTACCAAAGGCAATATCACATGAATTCTAGTTTATTTTATTGGCCTCTGCAGCCAATGTGGCAAATAAAGAAAAGGATGAGTTTTACAATGAGACAGAACTGGGTTCAAATGCTGACCTTTACACTTCAACTGTATCACCTTGGGTAATTCACTCCATGTTGGTGAGCCTTAGTTTCCTCCACTGTGAAATGAGTCCTTGCAAGAATTAAACAAGCTGATGGGACTTAGTGTGTCCCATAGCAAATGTGTGTCCCTTCCTTCTTTCCACCCTAGTCAGCAAAGGCTCCAAGTGGGAGATGAGGAAGGAAAGTTTGGACATGGACTCAATAGTAAGACTCTGACTTGAATGAATTTTTGACCAAATGTCTGGTGATTTATCCAAGGTGTGTTGCAGAGATGGGGACAAGCTAGATGCTGCACATACCGCAGATTCACCAAGATACCAAGAATACTCTCTTTTGCCCCTCTACCTGAGTTCTAGTTAAGTCAATCTCTCCTAAGGTCTGTAGGAAACTCTGAGGCCCAGCTGAAGGTCTATCCTCAGGAACTCATTCCCTCATCTGTTCTCCACAGGTCACCCAGATGTTGAACAACCCTGTAAGTCCAGTGTCCGCACCTGGAGCCCCAATTCAGCTGTCAACCAACACACAGTCCCACCAGCCTGCCCTGAGCCACAAGGCTGCTACCTCGAACTGGAATTCCGCTACCCGTTGGTCCCTGAGTCTCTGACCATCTGGGTGACTTTTGTCTCCACTGACTGGGACTCTAATGGGACTGTCAATGACATCAAACTGTTGACAGTCAGCGGGAAGAACATCTCCCTGGGCCCTCAGAACGTCTTCTGTGATACTCCACTGACCATCAAACTCCTGGATGTGGGCGAGGAGGTGTATGGTATCCAGATCTACACACTGGATGAGCAACTGGAAATTGATGCAGCCATGCTGACCTCCGTTGCAGACAGCCCACTTTGCCTTGCGTGTAAGCCCCTGCAATATAAGGTGGTCCGGGACCCACCTCTCAAGGTGGACGTGGCCTCCACCCTACACCTCAATAGAAGATTCATGGACATGTAAGTGCACTCTCTGGATAGGGAGATCATTAAGTGGGTGGGCCATGGAGGGATGTGAGGAGGGTCAGAGGGATCTGGACTAGAAGGAGAAGGGTCATCACAGCCAGAATTACTTCTGATGATTCGTCACCCAGCATTAGATGTAAAATTGTCATAACAAGACAGAGTTCATTTGGTGGGAAGAGTGATAGACAAGAAGCCAAGAGGCCCGTATTTTGGTGACAGCTCTGATGCTAAGCCTCACTGACCTTTCCGAAACTTAGTTTCCCCAACAATAAGATGGAGGTTGGATGATATTAGCAATGAGAAAGTCATTTATTACTAATGAAAGTGGAAGAACTAAAGTTTGCTAATGATTTCCTTTTCATGTCAAGTTAAAGAAGATTCATGCATTCTGATTGCTTTTTCAGTGGATGAGAAGGGGTGAAGTTATAGTGGGTTGGCTGGGAATTGGGCACAGTCCTGGGTATTCACAGCAAGGTCAAGGTGTTTGTTTTGTTTCATTTTCTGAGGCGGGAGAGAGGTTCAGACCCATTTGATCTTCAAGGGCCCTTACAGCTCTAGGTCTCAATGAGTCTTTTTTTTGCTTATGGATAATCACAGGATACTATCACAACTTTTATGTGAGATAGTGATTATCTCCCTATATTAGTGTTTCAAGCCACCTCTCTCTCACCTCTTCCCTCAAACATTCTCAGGGTTTGTGTTTTATGAGATGAGAGAAGCCACCTTAGAATGGAGTCATGAGTGCTTTTACTATGTACCAGACCATGGGCTAAGCTCTTTACATCTTGTTCTCATTTCATCCTGTCAACGACCACAGCCCTGTTATTGTTGTCAGTTTACAGAGAAAGAAACTACAGCTTAGAGATATGAAGTCACTTGTCTAAGATCACACAGTTGCAAAGTGGTGAAATCAGGATTTGAATTCTGTTCTGACGGCAAAGGCAGTGCATTTAACCAGTGTTCAGTTAAAGATGGGATGCCAACTTCTGTTTCAATCTAACAAAGGGAGGAGACTTAGCCACCTGATTTGGGTACTAAGAGTCTATGTAGTCAACCACCAAACATTTACTGAACACATACTATGCGAAGGGACATTGCTTAGAAACGCTTTTGAGTATTAGAAAGAACAATAGCTCAGGAGTCAAATGTCTGGTTTCTGGTTCCAGCGACTCCATCTACTAATGTTGATAAGTCATCGATCTCTTTGAGGCTCAGTTTCTTCTTCCATATGATGAAAATGCTAAAGTCAATGGTCTCTGTGAGCCTTTTGTGGTTCTTTCTTTAGTTCAAGAACAACGTAAGACACAATCTCTGCTCTGTCTACTTGAAAATATTTACTAAGCCAATCATTAATAAAAACCAAGTTCTAGAGGAAACTTTTAATCTTTTTAAGAGACAGAACCACTTTCAAACACTTTACCAGCACTTCCTTTTGCATACCAGCAATTAAGTGTGCAGCACAGGCAAACCCTTGCCCATTCACTGACTTAGAGACGAAGAATATCAGTTTAAGAACTCAGAGGGAGCACTTGGTTTGTGTTTGAGAATATACTTAAAATTTAAAGGATTGCCTTACCTTGAAAATATTAGTAGTTATGGAATAGTATAGTATTCCATAATCTTTCTCATCTCTTCATTTGTTTAGAGTGATAAAGTTCTATAAATATGTATCTGCTTAAAATTTCTTCATAGAACAATAGAGGGATGAAATAATAGACATCTCGAAACCTCAGTTTAAACACTGCTTTCATTTTTCTACCTAGAGTAATGAGCCTGTGAGAGCTGACAGGGGTTGATAAGTGTGGAATGGTGGAAATCAAACTGAAGAAGTAACAGCTCTATGACCCTAGGCAAGACACTTATTCTCTCTGGTCCTCAATGCCTCAAATCTACAAGGAGGAAGTTGCACTGAATTAGTATTCTCAAATTTGGCTGCACACTGCACCCACTTGGAGTATTTTAAACTGCCTGCATCTCCCCTGTCCCATCAGCGTCCTTCCCTTTCCCATGTATTTAAATTGGTAAGGATATCGCCTGACCATTGGGACTTCTAAAATATCACCAGGTGACTGTAATGTGCAACTTAATAACCAGTGCCCTAAATGGGTTCTCAAAGTGTGTCCCCTGACCAGCAACATCAGCATCATCTGGAAACATGTTAGAAATGCAAGTTCTCAGGCCCCAACCCACCTACTGATTCAGGAACTTTTGCTCAGGGCCTCTCCAGGTGATTCTGAAACTGGTTAAAGTTTAATAGCCACTGCTCTACGTGACCTCCTGAAAAAAGCAAGTATCTCCACGGTCTCTTTCACTCATACAATTGCACATTCAGTTTACAAATATATATTGAGAGCATTGTCTATGCCTGAGTGTACTGGGAGCTGAGGATTACAGAGATGACTCAGACAAGGTCCATTTCCTAAAACCCTCATGCTTTAGTGCTGGGAACCTTAACCACTCAATAAAGATAGCAAGGTCCTGTGCCAATTTGCTTCCAAACCACCACTATTCAGATTCACACTCTTATACACCAGTAATCTTTACTTCATTTACCGGATATTTCTTTAGTACCTATTGTGTGATAAACAAGGTGCCCTGGTTGCTCAGTGGTTAAAGCACTCCACTGCTAACTGAAAGGTCAGTGGTTCAAACTCACCAGCTGCTCTGCAGGAGAAAGATGTGGCAGTCTGCTTCTGTAAATATTTGCAGCCTTGGAAACTCTATGGGGAGGTTCTACTCTGTACTATAGGGCTACTATGAGTTGAAATTGACTTGACAGCAATGGATTTGATTTTGGTTTTGGTATATGCCAAACAGGTCCCTGAGTAGTACAAACGGTTTGCGCTCTACTGCTAACTAGAAGGTTGGTGGTTCAAACCCACCCAAGAGTGCCATGGAAGAAAGGCCTGACAATCTGCTTCTGTAAAGATTACAGTCAAGAAAGACCTATGGAAGTGCAGTACAGAGTACAGTTCTACTCTATAACACATGGGGTTGCCATGAGTCAGAATTGACTTGATGGCAACAGGTTATATGCCAATCACAAAGGATAGACTGACACATGGATCAATCCTCCTCTTTGTGTCTCTTGAGTGCCAAGGAGTTTATTGGAGACTTGGACTGGGCTGGACTTCCTGACGTGAATGTTCTCTGAGACTCTGAAAAAAGCAAAATACATCATTCCAAGTCAAGCTACCATTTCAACTCCTTTATCTCTTGATAATTTGAGTTCTGAGCCCCACCACAAATACCTCTTTGTGTGTGTGTGTGTGTGTTTTGCTGCTTTCACATTTTTTCCATATCAAATAAATTGGCTCTTATACAAGTTCTATATAAAGACTGTTTTGGAGAAAAATAGGAGAGAAGGGGAAGAATGCTTTCCTTTTCTTCCCTGACTCAACCCATTGCATGATTCCCTTTGATCTTTGTCTTCATTTTTTTCTCTTAACAAAAAGATTTATTTTTTCTGTCATCTACACTGGAGAAGGTTTCCCAAGGTATGACACTGATGAAGAGAGAGACTTCTGTGCTTACCCCATGGAAACTTCTAGTAAACTGATTACTTTTGACCAGGGCAAGGGAGAAATGCAGAACTTCTCCCTTAAGCAGAAACCCCTTCAGTGAACAAGAATGGCCTCTATCAGAGGGAAAGTTGCCCAACCCCAACTCTGCTACCAACTCACCACGTGATGTTAAGACACTTTGCGTCATAGACTTGGGCCTCAGTTTTTCCATCTATAAAATAAGGAGACAATGTTAAGCTTTCCTCTGTGACTAGATGTTGTTCTTATGTAATGGTGACTCATTCATTCTGTTGTTGTTTTGAAAGTTATTCAGCAGAGTTTGTCTGTTAGAATCAGCACCCACTGGTTCTGGATGCCCCAGTGACATGTGTGCCTTGTGGATAATAGTAATAACCACTAACTGAGTCTATACTCGGCTTTAAGTGCCTTACAAACACTAACACCATTTAATTCTCACAACAATATTATGAGGCATGTGAGGAAACTAAAGCTCCAAGAAGTGATTTTTCCCAACCTTATACAACTACTAATGGCAGAACCAGGCTTAAAACTCAAGTCTAAGTCTAAATTCCACTTCCCTAATCCCATATTTCTGGAGCCCTGGTGGCACAATGGTTAAGAGCTCGGCTGCTAACCAAAAGGTCGGCAGTTCGAATCCACCAGCCACTCCTTGGATACCCTATGAGGCAGTTCTGCTCTATCCTATAGTTGCTATGAGTCGGAATTGACTTGACGGCAACGGGTTTGGTTTTGGTTTAATCCCACTTCTGACAGTTCTGACAATCACTACACCACACTACCTTCTGTTGCAGTAATCCACCAGCACCAGTCTCCATTCTGACTCATGGCCACCCCATATGTGTTACAGTAGAACTCTGCTCCACAGGGTTTTCAATGGCTGATTTTTTAAGAAGTAGATAGCCAGGCCTTTCTTCTGAGGCACTTCAGGGTGGACTCAAACCTGTAACCTTTGGTTAGCAGCTGAGACTGTTAATCATTTGTACTACTCAGAGACTCCCACTGCAGTAATACAAAGGCAGAATTTTAGAGCTGAGAAGTATGTCTAATCTGGCCAAAGTTCTAGATACAACAAGTAGAAGACACAGGATTACAACTCACAGGCCACTAACCCATAATCAGCTCCTGAGACCTACCCTTGGGTTCCAGCAAACACAAATTCTTTAGGCCTCTGGCTAAGAAGAAAGAGCAAGGAATCTTCTGTTTCCCAACCTGGCTATCAAGTGCTTTTGCACTGAGCACCGTGCTCCTTGGGACTAAGTGGTATCTTCAGATTTCTCTGAGAGGCAAAGGCTCTGGATAAAACTGCGCCAAATTATAGCATTTTCTTAGAGAAAATGAGGCTTAAAGCAAACCAGGAACACTGAATAACAGCTCACTCTCATTATTCATCTATCCATCTGTCCTTCCATCTATCCATTAATCTGTTCAACAGATATTTACTGAGTATCT